GTATATATATATATATTTCCTACAATTATAAGACATACACAAGCAATCATATGAGGCATAGAAAATTTTAGTGAGTTGTAGTGCTTCAACATTAGTTATTACTGGCACTCAATGTTTAAAGAGATATGTTGATTCGAAATACAATTTCAAACAAATTTTTTCAAGAAAATGAATAATAGATATATTTTTTTCTCTACTATTTTAAGAAATAAAAAACAATCATATGAGGCCTAAAAAACTCATGTGAGTTGTTGTACTTCAACAATAGTCACTATTCGAACCTTCTAATGATTCATTTAGAGCAATATATGATTTTTCGGTTTTTAGCTTTTAAAAGTTCATTTGTCAATCTCAATTTTAAATATATTTTTCTAACAACAAAATTTTGAAGATCAATTTAAAATAAGCCATTAGAAAGTTGTAAAATTGTAATTGAAATTAACATTATTTTACCTTCTCAAAGAAAAAAAAAAAAAAAAAATTACTTTATTGGCTAGAAGGCTACTTAGTAGTCATCGTCGCCTTGGATAAATGGGCACAGCTCTGACTCTTGCCCATGGGCTCCTTATTTTAGATGTTGCCCATCGACCAGAGTCGCCCGGATGTTTTACACGTGGCCCCACTCCGCAAACGGATGCAAACCTATTTATATTCTCCTCTTTTAATTCACAGCTTTCTAGTCCGCAGCTCCCCCATCTCTCGCTCTCTCCTTCTCTCTACACTGAAAGCCGAACTCGAAACCCTAGAGCTCTAAGCCTCGGATCCTTTGATGCCATTAAGCTTGACAACATCAAATACTGGATCACTTCCAGCTAGAATTCGCCGGAGTGGTCCCACCCCCGCCTTGTTTTTGATCCTCTGAAGGGCGCTATATCCCTGGGGTGATCGATGGCGGGTAGCGTCTCTTCCGTTTATCTCCAGGTAATTGAAGATGTCATCAGTAAGGTCCGGGACGAGTTTATCAATTCGGGCGCTGGAGAGAATGTCCTCGGCGAGCTTCAAGCGGTAATTTATTTTCTATTCGATCTGAGTGATTCCTAGGGTTTTGATCTGGTTTTGGGGCTGCGACATGTTAACGTTGGCAATTTCAGCTATGGGAGGCGAGAATGATGCAGTGTGGAGTTATATCGCCTAATATGGAACGGCCTTCGCTTCAGAAGCAAACCGGTCCGATTACGCCGGTGCATGACCTTAACGTGCCGCCTGTGGAGGAGTATGAAACCCCCACAGCCGAGATGCTCTTCCCGCCAGTAAAATTTTCTTTTATTTTGCCTTATTTTAGAGAAAAAGCTCTTTTGCTTTTGTTATTCTGGTGATTTATTGTGCGTTAACGGATATAGACTCCTATGCAAACCCCGGTGCCACAAACCCCATTGCCACAAACTCCAATTCAAACTCCATTGTCTGGAATAGATCAGATGTATAACATACCAACTGGCCCCTCCGATTATGCTCTGGTTAGTGATAGCAGGGATGGAATGGTGGTGATATGAAACCTGGAAGGCCCAGTCCGTACATGGTACAGCAGTCTGATCCTTCTATTTTCAATTATGAAAACTTCATTTTAATGCAAATGTCATGCTGAAATATTCATTTTAGATCTGCTGAGAATGCTGCTACATGGATACATTACATTTTTTTGAGTGTTTGATAGTAGAAAATTATGTGGATGAGTTCAGCCATGAAGAAAAGATTAATTATGTTCATATGTCTCCATGAATAATGTAACTAATGAGATATTAATTTCATTTGCACAGCCACCCCCATCTCCATGGATGAACCAAAGGCCTTTAGGAGTTGATGTCAATGTGGGTATGTACCATATGAAAATAAACTTGCATCATATATCATGATGTCAATGATATGCTTGTTTAACATGAAGCGTTATTCTTTCACAATGGGATGTTTTAGCTTATGTTGAGGGTCGTGAGGAGACTGATAGAGGAGCTCCTCATCAACCAATGACTCAGGTAGTCCTTTCTTTCATTTTGTCGACAATATAAATTCTAAAATATTGATTAATCATTTGTTGAATGCCATTTATTGCTCATTTAACTTATTTTTAAAACCAGGCATATTTTGAGGTATTATCTAGCTGTTGTGTATTGGTTACTTGTGCTGAAAAGTTTCTCTCTTTTTCTGATTTTAAATCTTAAACGTTTATTTAAATTATTTTCATCAATTATTGCTATTCTTGAGTCTTTGCCATATATTATATGTTTTGGTTACTTGAATTTGTTTGACTTTTGGGTTTGCATATATAGGATTTTTTTATGATGTCTGCTGGGAAGCGCAAAAGAGATGATTATGCTTCTAATTTGGCACCTGGAGGTTATATGCCCCAACAAGATGGTAGTGGAGATATGACAATAGAGTTCATTCTACCAAAGGTTGGTCCTTTCGCAAATTGACAAAATGATGCAACCCTTTTACTCTTGTTTTTTTTATGACATGATCATCTACCCACTTTAAATGTGTTGTAACTAAAGTGCTAAAAAATCTTTTGTTTGAGAGCACTAAAGTGATTTATTGAATTAACCTAGGATAAAACAAAACTAGCTTTACACGTTGATATGCCGAAAAATCATACATACAACTATAGACATTTGAGAGAAGAACACCATGATTTATATGGGATGGATAACAAGGGTCTACATCTATTCAATGATGAGGCACATATCAATCCATGGTTAGATGTATGAGGCGTACAAATTTAGAGGAATAACTTGATAGATCAAATCTTCTCTCATAAAACTATCAAGGTGTAAATATAATCAAATTTGTATTGGAGCAGTCTTGCTTAAAGAGAAAGGCAAGTAAAGAGGAGAAAAATAATTATTTTCCTCAAATCTCTAGGATCACAAAAGCAATGAATCTCCTTCTTTAATCAAATTTCAAATGAAAAAGAAGTGCATTTCTTCCTCATCCTCGCATCTAACAAGTGCTCGGTCTTTTAAAATCGCCACCCTTAATTTTTCCCGAGCATTTTATTTTTAAGATATTGTACGAATAAGCAGACATTGTAGCAAAGCATCTGTTAAACATTCAATTAAAATTTTTTAGTATTGTTAAATGATTTTGGTTAAGTAATTATAATATTATCCTTGAAGTTATCTGATATGACCCTAATAATTTTTTTCTATGCCAAAATTTTCATATAAAAAAAGAAACAAAGTAGACAACTAAGGGTCTATTTGAGACATTTTTTGACTGCTTTGCATTTCAGACTGCCACTACAACTCTGTTTGGGGATTTTTTTTGTTGCTGCTATCTAAAAATTTCTGTGGTGGGAAGTTTTTTTTTCAACTTGATTCATTTAAGTGCGGTGGATGTAAGAAATTTACTATCTGATTTTTTTTTTTGTAAAAATATATATTTATAATTCCTACAACTTTTTAAGAAGCTACTTTCTCTACCATAGTTTTACAATCATCTTTTTAAAAAGCCGCAACCACCCCAAATAGACATTAAGTCTTACTCAAATCATCAAATTCTTCTCACTCAAAATTTTAAAGGGCCTTAACAGCCATATAAACAATTCAACTCTAGCACAACCCCTCTAGGGCATCACTGCGATGCACATCCCCTTCTCTGACATTGACCTGGCTTGATCATGCTTGCCTTAGCTCATGAGCATTTATGTTTATGAATATTCCCGCATCAGTGCTTGATCATCCCACCCCCTTTCATTAATTTTTATGCATTCCCTCGCATCTTCTATTCCACTTTACTCGAGTTGCATGACACCTCATAGCGTCAACAACCTATTCTTATTCAATGGTTGTGCTTCTAGCTGCAATGTGACTCTTACATCCATTGGATTTTTGCTCGAGCTTATGAGCGTTGTGTTTGTTAGTGCATTAATGGATGATCATCCCAATTTCTTTCACAAAACTTATTGCATTCACTTTCATTGCTCATTACACTTTACTTTAGTAGCATCACACCTCATGGCGTCAGCACCCATTCTTGTTCAAGGCATGTGCCTTTGGATGCATTGTCGCTCTTATATCCATTGGAATTTTGTTCCTCTTCTTAGGCCTTGAATTGTGCTTAATCACTTCATTAACTTTGAATCCTTCAATATCACCTTTTCATCCTTTTTATTTGATCTGGATCTTTTTCTCGTCAATTTTCCTTAAAAATTTCTTCGAGGGTGTTGTTCGCTTCTTGTTATCACTTATTTTTTTGCCAACATCTCTGGTGAGTGTTATGGTTGGCGTTGATCTTTTTTACTCCTCTAACCAGATTCCTTCAGATGCTGGTGCTCAATCTTGTAGGGCTATTGCCACTTTCTCTTTTTTGACTGATATGTTAAGGGGAAGGGCTTTACTTGATTGATCTAGCCTTCTAATATATATTCTTTCATTATTATACAAATGTTGCTTGCCTCTAGCGAGCCATTAACTCCTTGGTAAGTCATTTCCTATTTTTTATGAGGCAAAGATTTTTGACCTGATAACCTTTTTTTCACTCTATCAATTTACTTTATAGTTTCCATGTGCTTATTATAAGCTTTTCTTAGTATATTTTTACTATGTGAATTTCTTACGAATGAAGATACTGAAGCGGTATCCTTTTTTTGATGCTATTGAGAAACCTCTTATTTCCCATGTTTTGGTTACTTTATTCTATCTTAGGCTTCATTACATCAATATATTCACACTATACTCATTGGATTTAATCCTTGACAAATTATTACATGTGGATACTACAATTGCTAGACTTTGTAGACTATCTATGGCCCATGTTCTAGTTGAAATGGATATTTCTATCCATTTTGCTCGAGAAGTATGGATTGACATTTTTTCATACTGCTATTACCAAAGAGTGGAATTTGAAGGTTCACCCTTATATTACAAATCTTGTTAAGTTTTTTTTTTTGTTATGATTTTATGGACTGCTTTGAGGCCCACCCAAAATTAAAGAAATCATCCTTGAAGGTTCCATCTATAAATTTTTCCCTATATGAACCCACAGTAATTGTTTTATAATTACTCATGATCAATTAGGGTCTTCTACGTTACTGAGTTTGACGTGGGGCCGCTAGGGCTGAACCGGCCCAGGATTCAGCAAGAGGGTGACGATTCAGCAGGGAGGCTGAACCGACTGCCATAATTACGTTTGGGAGCTGTTGCCGTCCAAGAGGGGCCCCTTCTAGTTATCTTTTTATTATAAATAGATTGTTTGTTGTGTTAGGGTTTAGTTTTTGCATTGAGATTTCTGCCAGGATAGCCTCCGGTACCCTTTTTCCCTTTTTAGGGTTGTATCTAACGGGGAGATTGTGATCCGACTGTAACTCAACCCAAGGTGGTGTTTATCTTTCCTTTTTTCTTGTTTGTTTCTCTCTAACCCAATGTGGTGTGTATCTTTCCTTTTTTCTTGTTTGATTCTCTCTTCCTGCTGCCGCCTAAGTCCACCCACATCTCCCCTATTTGCTGTCGCCGCCTCACTAGACTGCCCCTCCCTGCCGCAAGTCACTATGACCTACTCCCCAGTCAAACCCCTCCATTTTTTGCAGCCCTTCCCACGACCTCTACCCACTGCTTCTCCAAACCAGATGCTGCCCTCCCTCCTAACTGCTGCTGTTAGCCGCAACCCATGCCTGTTATCTTTGCTAGAACTCCACCTCCTTTGCCATCTCCTTGTGTCAGCCCAACCCGTAGACCCTCATCCACCTGCTGCTAGCTCTCTTACCACCATTTCTCAGGTTGTTCTGCCTCGCTCTAGCTAGATATTAATGTGTGTTGTGTTTTCTATTCTTTTTTTGGATCTTGATTGTAACCCCATTGCTGTTTGAGTAATGAAGTTATGATTTTTTATCGGATTTTGGGTTAGCTCTGATATCATTTGTTATTAGAGCTAGCCTAACATTAATCCTATCCCAGGGTTTCTTAGCATCCGCCCCTAGTAAAGCCTCCTTTACCCAAAATTTTTCTTTGTTATTCCCAAACCATATCCAAAATACGACTTAACCTTAATTTCCCTTATTGATTTTCAAAATTAGTAACCCTTAATCATTTTTTACGTCATCTTTCACTTCTCAATTCTAAATCTTAACCATGCCACCAACGAGATACATGTCCAAGCCTACTCGGGAAGAGATACAACGAGAGATCCACCGACTTCAGTAGAGCGTTTGCAGACATTTAGGATGAAACTTAGGGGAAATTACTTTTGATCATGGCAGAAAAGGTCGAAGGGGCGAAAGAGACGAGAATTTCAACCCTTTTCATATGGAAGATTTTGGTGATGAAGACAACATATTTAAAGACATTCAGTATTAGAGTATGCCGCGAGAGGAGCCCACTTATGGTGGACATAAGGACTTCATAATAACTATGGATTTACCAGAATTCAATGGAGTTATGGATCTAGATGACTTTATCGAATGACTATTATCGATCAAGAGGTTCTTTGAGATGTGTCAGAAGATAAAAGGGTAAAGCTCGCAACCATCAAATTGAGAAAGAGTGACTTCTTGTGGGGGAAAACTTGCATAGACAAAAGAAGAGAGAAGACAACGTCATGATTACAAAGTGGGAGAAGATGAGGATGACGATGCAGAGAAAATATATATCTCCTCACTACTGTTAGAATATATTTCCGAGACTCCACCACATGTAGCAGAGAGACCTATCAATGGAGTTCAGACAGAGTTTGACCAATTGCAGATGAAGTGTGATTTGGTCGATCCAGGGGAGCACACTATGGCTCGTTATCTGAGAGTCAAAAGCCCACTATTAGTGACGTTGTGCAGCTGCAACTTATTAGTCACTGAGCGATGTCCAAACCTTAGTTTTGAAAGTGGAGAGGCACTAAAAACAAAGTAAGCAACCACCATTGGTCAGACAGCCGTTCACACTTGGAGACACCAGCAGAAGCACGCCTCAGGGAGTTGAGAAAATTGTTTCGGATAAGGATAAAGCCACCCCAAGTGAGAGGAAGCTTGAGAAGGGTAGCACTGCTACTATAGTTCCCGCCTAAAAATGCTTTAGACTCTATGGATTTGGGCACATCACTTCTAGTTGGCCGACGAGCCTAATTGTGCCTTTTACTGAGTCGGGCACCGTGGAGGAGGTATCATCTTTCACCGAATGAAGGCGAGATGTGCATGGCTTGATAAGTTGTACAGACCGAGGATACGAGGATCCGCAGTGGTTTCATCACAACATATTCTACATCCGTTGCACTATGAACGAGATGGTATGCAGTTTCATCATCAATGGAGGGAGCATTAAGATTGCGATGTCTTCACAAATGGTGAAGAAGTTGAGCCTCATGACTCAGAGGCAGTCCCAATTGTATTCTCTGACGTGGTTGAAGAAGGAGAATCGGGACAGTATTGATCGGAGATGCCTAGTGGAGTTTTTGATTGTGTTCAGCTGCA